CACCCTTAATCACCATACCACCTACTGGCCCCATTAAGTAGTCTTTTTTTTTTTCTGCTATAGGGCATGTGTGCTTGCTGGAGAGAGACACAGAGAGAGACACAGAGAAAGTGAGAAATCGCTCCACAGTGGGGATGGCCATACCACAATCCGTTCTCCTATATTCTCTTGGGTTTTGGGGCACCTAATTTGGTGTGTTTTTAAGCCACCAGGTCCGAGACTTAAATTACATAGTTGGCTATGTGGAATCCAGCTGCTTTAACCTCCATGCCACCTCCTGGTGCCTCTAACAGTTCTTATTTTAGTTTCTTCTCTCTGGGTTGTCTGATGCATCAAGTTTCATTGCAATTTGATCACTTATCTTTGTGAGATCATTTTTAATCTATTTGTTGTCTCTTCTCTCACAATCTGCTTTGCTGCGTTTTGTAATTTCCTTTCCCTCTTCCTTTCTTGTCTTTCTATCTCTACCACTGTCTGACTTGTTCTGTTATCTTTTATGCTGGCACTCAGTAGCCCTGCAGTATGTACGGAACCAGAATATGAAATATTAGTCTATATCTCTTCTAGACAGATTGAAGTCCAGACTAAAATGATGTCTTTCCTTTTCTCTTATTTCCATGTAGCATCCTTTCTTCTCTTTTATTGCATCATTCGATTGACAAGTATTTAATGATTACGTATGTGACAGTTGTCAACTCACCTATGCCAGTTTGGTCACAATTTTATACCAGTAGCATTCAATTCATAGAGGTGGATGAGAGCTAATAGTTTTTCCACACCTTTCTACCTGATTACAAAGAGTAAAAGAAAGTCTCAGATTGAATATGCTACTTAAACCGAAAACTCCACAAAGCCCTAGATCTCTGTCCTTTTAGGTGTTCCAACATCTTTTTCCTCCCCGTTTTTAAAAATTGAGATATAATTCACATAACATAAAATGCACCATTTAAGTTGACTACTGTGAAACCAACAATACTGTAAATTAAACCAGAAACTAAAAAGGCGTATTGAGGGAACCAGCAGTTAGCGTAATGGCTATGTCGCTGGACTCCCACGTAGTCGACTGTGGTTCATGTCCCGGACCCGGTGGCTTAAAACTCACACCGGGCGCGTGTGCGTGCGTGCCCAAGATCCCGAGAGGAGAATGGAGGAGAAGGGATTGCAGCGTGACCATCCCCCCATCCCCCCTGGGGGGTGATTTCTCGCTTTCTGTCTCTATGTCTCTCTCTGTGGTGCGGGGCCACACGCCGAAAGAGAAAGACTCCCCAAAAAAAAAAAAAAAAGAAAAAAAAAAAGAAAAGGCATATTGATAATCAGAGACATTTTAGAATATGGAGATCAAAAGTGAACCTGACAATAGATTTTCAGACCTTAATTTGTAAACTTAGAAACATTTCTGTTTCTAAATGTACTTGCAGTACACATTAACAATAGTTAATGGGTTTAATAAGTCAACAGGTTTTGTTCCAATTTACATAGTCATTGATATCCAGTTAGACTAAAAAGTGAATTAAAGTAAAACCTCTATAGCACTCTTTTATTTTTAAGATATTTTTTTTTTCTCTGTGGCATGTGTGCTCGCCAGAGAGACAGAAACAGAGAGACAGAAAGCAAGAAATCACCCCCCCCACCCCCGCCCGGGGGGCGATTTCCATATTGTAATCCATTCTCCTCTATTCTCTCGGGATTTTGGGCATGCACACACTCTGGCCTGGCATGAGTTTTAAGCTGCCAGGTCCGGGACTCAAACCACAGTCTACATGTGGGAGACCTAACCATTATGCAATCTGGTGGTCCCAAAACTCAATAGCATTCTTAACTACATTATAAATAGATATTGAAAAAACTAACCACTTCAAAATGTGTAATACAATTCAGTATTTAATGTCTTTTTCTTTTTTAAACTGAGGTAAAATTCACACAAAGTAACCATTAGCCATCTATTTTAAAGTGTACAATTCAGTGACATTTAGTGCATTTACATGTTGCGCAACCATTCACCCATGTCTAGTTCCAAAACATTTTCATTGTCCTAGAGGAAAATCTTGTACCTATCCAACAGCATCTTACCTGAAATGTTCCTTCAGTACAAATGTGACAGCTTTCTAGTAGTGGGATTTAGCTAACTTTCTAACTAGTCAAGCCAGACGAGCATAGGACTATTTTGGAATGAAACCAAAGGTGTCATTTTGAAGGGTACAGATCCTTGGGTTCACTGCGTTCTTAGAACCTACTCCTGCTCAGTATTTGTTACTGATCTGTGTATTTTGAATACAGTCATTTCACTAATTAAAAATAATTACTTTCTTTTCTTTTTTTACTTGCTATAGGGCATACGCATTCACCAGAGACAGACAGATGGGGAAAAGGAGGGTGTGGTGTGAGAAATCCCCCCACCCACCCGGGGAGATGGTCATGCTACAATCCCTTTTCCTTCAGTCTCCTCTCAGGATTTTTGGCATGCATGCACACATACCTGGCATAATTTTCAAAGCACTGGGGCCAGGACTTGAACTGTGAAGTTGACCATGTGGGATCTAGCCTCCTTAACCTCCACACCACTTGATGACCCACTAAAATTAATTTCTAGCATCATTTATTGTAACTAACAAAGCTTCTTGTTTTGATCAAAGGAAAAGACTATTAAATTGTTTTGTTAGCCACTTCTGAATTGTGGGCTTCTGATAGAAATTTGCTAAAGATTCCTGGAGTGTATATCTTTATTTTATTTTTTTATAATGATTTTATTTAACTTTATTTATTATTATTATCATTTTTATTTTCCAGTTTGATCAGAGAGAGAGAGAGAGGAAGTGAGAAAGCAAGCCACCAGGTCCGAGACTTGAACCATGGTCGGCCATGTGGGAGTCCAGCGCCTTTAACCACCATGCCACTTGCCAGCCCCCTAGTTTAGTTTTAAGTATATGTATTTACTTATTCCAAGAGAGAGAAAGATAGAGACTCCCAACAGGGTCTCCATAGTGTGACCACTGTAGCCTCAACCAGTTTAGAACATGGGTACATGTAAACAAACACAGTGTGTACAAGGGGACCTCAAGATATGAACCTGGGACCTTCCCATGTGGAGCCAATTAAGATACTGCTATCCTACTGCCTAACCCTTTATTTTATTTTATTTTGTAAGTTTATTTATTCATTTTTTTCCATGAGAGACAGGGAGAGGGAAGAAAGAAAGAAAAACAGGCACCCCAACAGAGCGTTTATGCCACGATCTACCTCTAGCCTCAGCCAGCCTGGATCATGGGCACACACGTGCATACCCAGTATACACAGGAAGACTCAGAGACATGAACCTGGGACCTTCCCACATGGATCTGGCATCATGGAACATTGAGTTACTGCTGCACCACTGTTTCTGGCCCCTGAAGTGTACATATAATTAGAGTAACAGACACCCCCTAGAAGATAGATCACATCTAATAGTTTCACTCTTATATGTCATATTGTCCATGTTGACTAACCATGGAGTTATATATGCAATTGACTTTTACAACTTCATTATAAAAATTGATCAAAAGTGAGAGGCAAAAGGAATATTTAAATGGAACTCAAGCTCAAAATGGTATCTGAATTTCCTGTTCCCACAGTTGCCTTTGGTTACCATGTCCTCCTCAGTGTGTGAGCAAGCTGCCCTGCGGAGAGTGATTCCAGTGGTTAAATTTACATAATACTCATTCAACATGGCACTTAAGCATAAAGAAAGTTTTAACTGGCCTCCAACTGAAGAGGCAGATAGTCATCTGCTTCAACAAGGGAGAAAAATTTTTTGTGTCTTCTTACAGAGAGGCAGTTTTCTAAAGTGGTTAAGGAATTTTTTAGGGTATTTTGACTACTTCTGTTTTTTACTATAATTGTTTTAGAATCTACCTGTCCTACCCCACCCCTCTGACACCCCCCCCACACACACATACACAATGTAAAATGAGTCTGAGTCTAGCACTGAAATATGCTCTTTGGGGTTTCTGAAGAAATGTAAAGTGGGATTTCTAGTGGGTTGAGGAATTTCAGATCTGCCTGTTAGAATTGCATTGAGGCAAGCAGTTAGCAAGACCAATTTTGTCCCAGAACCAAGGTAGCTCTGTGTGTGTGTGTGTGTTGTAAGTTTATTTATTAATTTTCTGAGGTTAAGTTTATTTATTAATTTTCTGAGGTTGGGGGGGGGGCATGCTCAATAGAATCTTCATACTGTGATTCACCCTTAACTCTGCTGCCAGTCAGGATCACAACATGTCCACAGATGCACACTCTGTGTTGAAGTAGACCTCAGACAGAAACCTGGAGCCTTCCCAGATGGTCTCCAGCATTGCGCAGCAGTGCCACTACTGCCTGTGCCACTAGGGCTGGGCTATTTTCTGTAATTTTTAAAGGGAAAAAAAATGACATAACATATTCGTCTAGGCCCAGCCTGTGTGGTGCAATAGGTAGCTTATGGAATGGCAGTGCCTGAGGCCACATGACTGACCATAGTTTGGATCCCTTGCCCAGGTGACCTGAAGCATGCTAGATCTTGACAAGCTGGATGCTAGAAGAAGGGGACTACAGTGTGACTAGACTCTGCTGAGGGTGCTCTCTTTCTTTCTCTTGTGCATGCACACATGCTCTCTATCTTAAAAAAAAAAAAAATTCTTCTTGTGAGAAAGAATATTTTGTCTCTATAACACATACATTTAAAATCTCACTGTGAAATTCCAAAGACAGACTTTAGTTCCGTTTATGGTAGAGCTGAATGATGGATTTATTGCTGGAATATCATTTCCTTGTTCTAACCAGATGGTGATGAAAGCATAAAATAATCTTTATGTACAGTAACCTAGATTGTATATCCATTCTCATAACTAATGTGTTGAATGTCTTCTTGGAAAATTCCCCTCAACTTTTTTCTTTACATGAACAAAAAGTATATAGGCAGTAGCTTGACTGATTTTAAGTATACTGAAAAATACTTATCATTTCTTGTTTTCTGATTATGATTCTAATAGGTATTATGTTTTGATGCCTACTTGGAAGATGAAGTACCTGATAAAAACCAAGAAGACTATAGAATAAGATACTATAAAATCTACTACTACCTTGAAGATGACACAATTCAAGTAAATGAGCCAGAGGTGTTAAATAGTGGACTGAATCAAGGTATCTATTTAAAGAGGAGTTACAGTTCTTTCATTTCTATCTTCTGCCTTTATATATGTCTTTCTTTTGCTTTTTAAAAGACCCTGTGCTGCTGCTTAGGTGTCTAACTTGTTGGCTGTGGTGAATGTAAACATCCTGATAACATGTAGTTATTGGTAATTTATTAATTTTCTAACCCCTGCACCTCAACATTGGACATTTCTCTCCTCCGTGGCCTACTTCTATCCTTTCATGTGCTGCTGTGGTATAAACAAATTCTCCTGTGTCTTTAACATTTTCTTCAGACCTTTTGGTCTCTTTGCTGTGACCATACTGCTTCCTTTGCAAGACTCTCAGGGGAGAAGAGAAAGCTATCCACTGCCATTTCCAGATTAGTGTTCCCTGACCCTACAGGGAAAAACTCCCCAAAAAAAAAAAAAAAAAAGAAAAAAAAAAAGAAAAGGCATATTGATAATCAGAGACATTTTAGAATATGGAGATCAAAAGTGAACCTGACAATAGATTTTCAGACCTTAATTTGTAAACTTAGAAACATTTCTGTTTCTAAATGTACTTGCAGTACACATTAACAATAGTTAATGGGTTTAATAAGTCAACAGGTTTTGTTCCAATTTACATAGTCATTGATATCCAGTTAGACTAAAAAGTGAATTAAAGTAAAACCTCTATAGCACTCTTTTATTTTTAAGATATTTTTTTTTTCTCTGTGGCATGTGTGCTCGCCAGAGAGACAGAAACAGAGAGACAGAAAGCAAGAAATCACCCCCCCCACCCCCGCCCGGGGGGCGATGGCCATATTGTAATCCATTCTCCTCTATTCTCTCGGGATTTTGGGCATGCACACACTCTGGCCTGGCATGAGTTTTAAGCTGCCAGGTCCGGGACTCAAACCACAGTCTACATGTGGGAGACCTAACCATTATGCAATCTGGTGGTCCCAAAACTCAATAGCATTCTTAACTACATTATAAATAGATATTGAAAAAACTAACCACTTCAAAATGTGTAATACAATTCAGTATTTAATGTCTTTTTCTTTTTTAAACTGAGGTAAAATTCACACAAAGTAACCATTAGCCATCTATTTTAAAGTGTACAATTCAGTGACATTTAGTGCATTTACATGTTGCGCAACCATTCACCCATGTCTAGTTCCAAAACATTTTCATTGTCCTAGAGGAAAATCTTGTACCTATCCAACAGCATCTTACCTGAAATGTTCCTTCAGTACAAATGTGACAGCTTTCTAGTAGTGGGATTTAGCTAACTTTCTAACTAGTCAAGCCAGACGAGCATAGGACTATTTTGGAATGAAACCAAAGGTGTCATTTTGAAGGGTACAGATCCTTGGGTTCACTGCGTTCTTAGAACCTACTCCTGCTCAGTATTTGTTACTGATCTGTGTATTTTGAATACAGTCATTTCACTAATTAAAAATAATTACTTTCTTTTCTTTTTTTACTTGCTATAGGGCATACGCATTCACCAGAGACAGACAGATGGGGAAAAGGAGGGTGTGGTGTGAGAAATCCCCCCACCCACCCGGGGAGATGGTCATGCTACAATCCCTTTTCCTTCAGTCTCCTCTCAGGATTTTTGGCATGCATGCACACATACCTGGCATAATTTTCAAAGCACTGGGGCCAGGACTTGAACTGTGAAGTTGACCATGTGGGATCTAGCCTCCTTAACCTCCACACCACTTGATGACCCACTAAAAATAATTTCTAGCATCATTTATTGTAACTAACAAAGCTTCTTGTTTTGATCAAAGGAAAAGACTATTAAATTGTTTTGTTAGCCACTTCTGAATTGTGGGCTTCTGATAGAAATTTGCTAAAGATTCCTGGAGTGTATATCTTTATTTTATTTTTTTATAATGATTTTATTTAACTTTATTTATTATTATTATCATTTTTATTTTCCAGTTTGATCAGAGAGAGAGAGAGAGGAAGTGAGAAAGCAAGCCACCAGGTCCGAGACTTGAACCATGGTCGGCCATGTGGGAGTCCAGCGCCTTTAACCACCATGCCACTTGCCAGCCCCCTAGTTTAGTTTTAAGTATATGTATTTACTTATTCCAAGAGAGAGAAAGATAGAGACTCCCAACAGGGTCTCCATAGTGTGACCACTGTAGCCTCAACCAGTTTAGAACATGGGTACATGTAAACAAACCCAGTGTGTACAAGGGGACCTCAAGATATGAACCTGGGACCTTCCCATGTGGAGCCAATTAAGATACTGCTATCCTACTGCCTAACCCTTTATTTTATTTTATTTTGTAAGTTTATTTATTCATTTTTTTCCATGAGAGACAGGGAGAGGGAAGAAAGAAAGAAAAACAGGCACCCCAACAGAGCGTTTATGCCACGATCTACCTCTAGCCTCAGCCAGCCTGGATCATGGGCACACACGTGCATACCCAGTATACACAGGAAGACTCAGAGACATGAACCTGGGACCTTCCCACATGGATCTGGCATCATGGAACATTGAGTTACTGCTGCACCACTGTTTCTGGCCCCTGAAGTGTACATATAATTAGAGTAACAGACACCCCCTAGAAGATAGATCACATCTAATAGTTTCACTCTTATATGTCATATTGTCCATGTTGACTAACCATGGAGTTATATATGCAATTGACTTTTACAACTTCATTATAAAAATTGATCAAAAGTGAGAGGCAAAAGGAATATTTAAATGGAACTCAAGCTCAAAATGGTATCTGAATTTCCTGTTCCCACAGTTGCCTTTGGTTACCATGTCCTCCTCAGTGTGTGAGCAAGCTGCCCTGCGGAGAGTGATTCCAGTGGTTAAAGATACATAATACTCATTCAACATGGCACTTAAGCATAAAGAAAGTTTTAACTGGCCTCCAACTGAAGAGGCAGATAGTCATCTGCTTCAACAAGGGAGAAAAATTTTTTGTGTCTTCTTACAGAGAGGCAGTTTTCTAAAGTGGTTAAGGAATTTTTTAGGGTATTTTGACTACTTCTGTTTTTTACTATAATTGTTTTAGAATCTACCTGTCCTACCCCACCCCTCTGACACCCCCCCCACACACACATACACAATGTAAAATGAGTCTGAGTCTAGCACTGAAATATGCTCTTTGGGGTTTCTGAAGAAATGTAAAGTGGGATTTCTAGTGGGTTGAGGAATTTCAGATCTGCCTGTTAGAATTGCATTGAGGCAAGCAGTTAGCAAGACCAATTTTGTCCCAGAACCAAGGTAGCTCTGTGTGTGTGTGTGTGTTGTAAGTTTATTTATTAATTTTCTGAGGTTGGGGGGGGGCATGCTCAATAGAATCTTCATACTGTGATTCACCCTTAACTCTGCTGCCAGTCTGGATCACAACATGTCCACAGATGCACACTCTGTGTTGAAGTAGACCTCAGACAGAAACCTGGAGCCTTCCCAGATGGTCTCCAGCATTGCGCAGCAGTGCCACTACTGCCTGTGCCACTAGGGCTGGGCTATTTTCTGTAATTTTTAAAGGGAAAAAAAATGACATAACATATTCGTCTAGGCCCAGCCTGTGTGGTGCAATAGGTAGCTTATGGAATGGCAGTGCCTGAGGCCACATGACTGACCATAGTTTGGATCCCTTGCCCAGGTGACCTGAAGCATGCTAGATCTTGACAAGCTGGATGCTAGAAGAAGGGGACTACAGTGTGACTAGACTCTGCTGAGGGTGCTCTCTTTCTTTCTCTTGTGCATGCACACATGCTCTCTATCTTAAAAAAAAAAAAAATTCTTCTTGTGAGAAAGAATATTTTGTCTCTATAACACATACATTTAAAATCTCACTGTGAAATTCCAAAGACAGACTTTAGTTCCGTTTATGGTAGAGCTGAATGATGGATTTATTGCTCGAATATCATTTCCTTGTTCTAACCAGATGGTGATGAAAGCATAAAATAATCTTTATGTACAGTAACCTAGATTGTATATCCATTCTCATAACTAATGTGTTGAATGTCTTCTTGGAAAATTCCCCTCAACTTTTTTCTTTACATGAACAAAAAGTATATAGGCAGTAGCTTGACTGATTTTAAGTATACTGAAAAATACTTATCATTTCTTGTTTTCTGATTATGATTCTAATAGGTATTATGTTTTGATGCCTACTTGGAAGATGAAGTACCTGATAAAAACCAAGAAGACTATAGAATAAGATACTATAAAATCTACTACTACCTTGAAGATGACACAATTCAAGTAAATGAGCCAGAGGTGTTAAATAGTGGACTGAATCAAGTTATCTATTTAAAGAGGAGTTACAGTTCTTTCATTTCTATCTTCTGCCTTTATATATGTCTTTCTTTTGCTTTTTAAAAGACCCTGTGCTGCTGCTTAGGTGTCTAACTTGTTGGCTGTGGTGAATGTAAACATCCTGATAACATGTAGTTATTGGTAATTTATTAATTTTCTAACCCCTGCACCTCAACATTGGACATTTCTCTCCTCCGTGGCCTACTTCTATCCTTTCATGTGCTGCTGTGGTATAAACAAATTCTCCTGTTTCTTTAACATTTTCTTCAGACCTTTTGGTCTCTTTGCTGTGACCATACTGCTTCCTTTGCAAGACTCTCAGGGGAGAAGAGAAAGCTATCCACTGCCATTTCCAGATTAGTGTTCCCTGTTCTTTCTTGAATTTACTGTTACAACTACCTTCTCCTGATCCTCATACCTATTAACTACAGACTTTGATGGTACTTCAACAGAGAGTCATTGTTCCTTCTCCCCATGTATGCCAGTCATCTTTGTTCGTACTCGACTTCAGCCACAGATAAGAGTTAACTCTGTGATATGGCCATTAGGGATGCTAATCCTAGGTTGCATTATTAGAGTACAGCAAAGATCAGAGAAGTGGTTCCTTCCAATTGTACTGTGGGCTGTTCTCTTGGAATGATAGTGAGTTCTGGATGCCTTCAGAGATCAGCAACCATGATGGTGAGAGGACCAAAAATGTATCAGATACAAGACAGATTAGG